CACAATAAAAAGAGAACTTGTTTTCGTGTACATACTGCCAAACTCAATTGTTATTTATTTGTGATCAACTCGTAGTAATAATTAGTCGAATTTGGTTTTCTAGTGTGCTATTGTCAGCTATTCTACAATTGGTTGATTTATTTTTATATATATTACTTGAAAATGGATAAGCCTGTTCATGGTGAAGAAACACGTGCAATGGGTACCAAGAAAGATGAACGCATTCAACGCGGGGGCCCATCCGAACAACAAAGGGCTTTTGATAATACTGCTAACTGTATTAATAATAGTGGTAGCTGTACTACAACAGATCATTCGAATAACAGAATTATGACTTATAATACTCAGATAAATTACATTGTCGCGGAACCATACATACATCCACAACAACTTCAACAACAATCCCAATCTCCATACCAACAATCCCAACTTCCATACCAACAACTTCAACAACAATACCAACTTCCATACCAACAACTTCCACAACAATCCCAACTTCCATACGAACAACTTCCACAACAATCCCAACTTCCATACCAACAACTTCCACAACAACCCCAAGGGACATGGATGATTATCAACCGTGAGGGTGAGGAGGTGTGGGTGTGTAATAGCTACCAAGACGCGTTTCATCCCTGCTAAAGGATTCATCAGTTGGCTTAAACTAAATAAGTTTTAAATCAAAAAATTCAAAACAAATTAGAATAAATAAAATTCATTGTTATAAACAAAATTTCATACAAAAATGAAACCTATTTATAATAGAATTAAATTTTTTTGGCAATAGTGTGTAATAGCTAAATCAATGGAAAACAGATTGGCCTATCTCTTGACGAAAAGACAAGTTCAATCTGCTAGTCTCAACCTTTGCTTTTTAGCAACCGACTTTTGTGTCGAAAATTAACGATATAATTAATGTGCTTGAATATAAATTAATTGAAATAAATGCAGAGTTTGATTTCGCCGACGCGTTTCGTGTATTTATTTAATAATTTGAAACACTCATCAGGGCTCTGCATTACAATAATAAAAAAGCACAAAAGAAAAAAGTAAATAAAAACTTGTTAATATAAAGTACGATTAAATGACGCGCAAAAGAGAAGACTAAACTACAAATAATTATGCAGTGAGATTAAATGTATAGTACACACTATAATAGTTAACAGGAAAACAGATTATTTGTAGAAAAATTTAAATTAAATTAGATTAAATTACATATCGAAGGAAAAGTTTCTGACAAAAATTTATTTACATATTATTATATGTAGAAGAAGATTCAAAAAACAAAAATCAAAAACTATAGATTAAATTAAATTAAATGAACTTATATCATCTGTAGAAAGAATCACATTAGAAATTAAAGAAGGTCTGAAAAATAAACCAAAATAAATTAGAGATAAAGTGAATGGGCATCATCTGTAGAAATAATTAGATTAAAATTGAAAAACGGTATAGAGAACCGAAAAAAACAACTTAAAATTTAGATTGAGGAAAACGGTCTAAATGAACCGCAGAAAGAAACCGCAGCAAGAAACTACAGATATACATATATTTGTTATAAGTAATGGGAATAATTGAGTGCTACCAACAATACATAAAAGTAAAAGCTTTTAAAAAATGAAATAAGTAGTGGGAATAATTTTAAAACTTTAATAAGATATTAGTTGGAGAATCATAGTAAAATATTCATTTGAAGTCAGTTGGATCGTTGAATATCGATTCCCATTGATCTAGTATGGGTCAACTGTCTTTGTAAATTTTTGACGTTACGTGTACCGAGAACAGGTATAACCTCATTAATAGGAGATTCTCCAAAGTATTTGTTCCATAAAGTGTGAAATTTACCAGGAAATGTTCTCATACTTGAACAGTAAGTAAAATGAACAAACATTGTCTTACCATAATTAACTGGTACTTTTTCTTTTAAAGGAGAATCTATTACCTTCTTACGGTAATTTACATAATTATTACAGGTTAACAGTTGAGTAATATTTAACTTCAATAATACATGATTAAATTGTTCATCTATAAATTCATTTGGATATTTATTCAATAGTAAAGCCATTCTTAATGTTTCACGCTCATTTTAGTAAGTTTGAAATGTAGAACAATATCTAATCGCACGAAGTAACATGGTAAATATAATATTTTTCTTCATGTGCAATGGATGAACGCTATTGTATGGCAAGTAATATGGTTCATAGGATGGTTTTTGATAGACTGTAGTAAATAATTGTCCATCTTGATTTTCTATGTGTAAGTCGAGAAAATCTGCACTTGAACCAATATTCTCTGATAATTTAATATTTTCATCAAAATGATTCCATCTATCAATTTGTTTAAATAAATGTCGAGCTGGCCAATTGATTGCAATAAATATATCATCAATATATCGGAAATATAATCCACCACTATTATTAATTTGTTTGATAATCTGTTGTTCATAAAAGAACATATAACAATTAGCCATAGTGAGGGTGAGAGGAGAACCCATTGCTCCACCTCGAATTTGATGATAATATTGACCATTGTATGAAAAATAATTATTTTGCATAACAAATCGACTTAAACGAATAATTGTTTCAGTTCTGAGACCTCTAATTTGTTTTAATTTCATATGGTCCATCATGGACTTCAATGATAATACTCCTTCAACTTGAGGTACCATTGTATACAAATCAGTAACATCAATAGTACAAAATAATGTATTCTGACGTAGATTACTCTTGGACCATTCTTGCAAATGTTTTAATAGTTCAAAGCCAGAAGTAATCATTGTCTTTGAAGCCATTTGATCAAACAAGGGTCGAAGTAATTCATCAAGAAGTTTCGAAATTTTAATTGTTGGATGTTTTAAGCCAGCAACAATTGGACGTAGAGGAGTACCAGGTTTATGAGCTTTAAGCAAGTAATATAAATGTGCAAGCTCAACATCATTGGAATTTTGAATACATAATTGTTCGTATTGTTTTTGACTAATCCATTTGGCTAATCGTAAATCTAATAAATATTTATTGGTACGACGGATTAAATCTGGTAATGGATCAATTGTTCCTAAGCATTTATATGCTTTTGTTTTTTCCATATATTCGTCGGATTTCTTTGTATAATCATCAACTTTGCCTAAATGGAATACTTTAGATTTGTCAGTTTTTCGTAATATTGTATTAGTAGATTTGAATTTGAATTTTAATCGTTTAATTAATCGACCATAATTTTTCTTTATCTTATTAATTGATGGACGATTGTTATTAATTGTTGTTATCGGTATATTATGTAAATTTTGTAGCATTTCATCTAATTCAACAATAAATTGCTCAACGGGACGACCGGGGCTTACTTTCTTATCAAAGAATCGATTTTTAATTTTTCGTTTTAAAGTTGCCAACTCAGTTGTTCGCCGTCGAGCTGCTGTTTGTGGATCATTATAAATAAACCTAGGACCTAAATTCAGTAGTTGATGTTCTTCCTCGGTTAATGGAGTTTGTGCGTCATTGATTATTGCGGGACCCAAAAGTCCTCTGGTAATTGTCGAACAGGAGTCGGGGCTATTATTTCTTCTTCTATTGTTGTAATTTCCTTTTGATCTTTGGAGTTGCCCTCGACTCGCTTTTCTTCTAAAAAATAAAGCGATTTTTCGATTTCTAAATTTAATCGTTTTTCACGTCGATCATGGTATTGTTTAAATGCGGCATAGCCAGGTTCAGCATCGAATCCATCATCATTATCTTGAGGCATGCCTTCAACCAAACGTTTGATCTCATCGGAAAGTATTTCATATTCATGAGCTAACGATTGAATATATGTTGTCATTAGTTGAGTACGAAAATTTTTTACCATTTGACGTACATAATCGTAAGTTCCTTGTGCATCTTGCCGATCAACGACAGATTCGTCAATTTTCCATGTTGGATCAACTTTTTCAATAAATTTTGGTAATAAATCATATTCTACCTGTTTTGTAGCTGTACAATAATTTTTCTTTTTAATTGAACAAAGTTTAACTTTCGATTTTAATACATAATGAATATTCCATTGAGCAGGACTTGCAATCTGCTTGAAGTCTTCTAAAGCTTTGAATTCTTCAGATTGAGCTTTACATAATTGTATACGATTATCAGTCATCGTTTTAACATGTTTCGTACATTGGTGTAAATATTCCAAAAGAAGCTTTTCTAATCGATCTATCGGATCACGAACCGAAGAAGAAGTTTTTGTTATTGCACTACCAGGTGCTGTTGTTATTGATGTTGTTGTTGCTAAACCTGTTCGTTCAACGATAAGATTAGCAGCTAATTCAGCTGTTATTTGAGCTTGTTTCTGTGCTGTTGCTTCTGTTGTATTTTGCATCCAATATGTCGATAATTGAATTTGTACATTAGTAATAGTTGCGGTTGCTTCTGTTATATTGTCATTTAGACGATTGATCTTCTTTTGAACAAATCAATGGAAAACAGATTGGCCTATCTCTTGACGAAAAGACAAGTTCAATCTGCTAGTCTCAAACTTTGCTTTTCAGCAACCGACTTTTGTGTG